GTCTGGTGCGTGGCTTGTTCGATCTTCTCTTGCGATCTTCGCATCTGGTTTATCTGACAGAGGTTCATCACCACTTGTATGGTGAACGGTGGCTTCATTGATGGTGTCCCACCTGCGTGATTCATCTTGGTGGCAGCATGAAGTCTCCTGGTGGTCCTATCGTCACTTTTTGTCTCTTCGTAGGTTGTCTTCGGTTTTGGATTGGGTTGTTTTTGTTCTTTCTCTCTTGGTTGTTTCAGGACCGTCATCTTATGTCAAATACTGTTGCCTTGTATCGTGCGGTGCTGGTGGAGCTGTTTCTGCTTGCGTTCGGGGGTGGATGTTACTGCCACTCCATTTCAATGTTTTATGTATCATTTATACGCTCTGTGATTGACTACAATGCTCTACATCTCACACTGTATACTGACAAAGAGCTGAAATCTCTTGAAACCTTGCAAAATGAAGCTATGCGTCTCATCCTTGGGGCTCCAAAGTCCACGAGAATAGTTAATATGAGAGCAGAGTTAAAATTACCTACCATAAGTGAGAGAATTTTGTCTATTAGCACAGTTTTTGGCGTGAAGGCATTGAGTAGATCTAGACAACACATGAAGTTTCAAGCTAAACTTTCTAATATGCTGCACTCACCTGAGGTCTATAGAAGAAGAACGAAATCTGATTATGTATATTAGTTCTACAAGGTAGCCAACTCCATCAAAATATTAAATATGTACCCAACTCAACTAATGATTAATCAGCCAACTACTCCATGGGATAACTGGGATCTATCAGTTGATTTTGTAAATGCGCCCAAGAAAGATAGTGTGCACACTACATTATTAAAACAGTTAACACTGAAAAGCATCACTGAGAGTACTCAGAGTATGGGTAACGATGTTTATCAGTGCTATACCGACGGCTCTGTAGAAGAAGGTGGACGATGTACCGGATGTGCATGTAACATATTTGAACAATCTTCTCTCGTACATACAGCAATGAAGCGCGTCAATGACTGGGCAAGTACAACTCAAACCGAACTTGCAGGCATATACCTTGCCACTGAATTTTTAAAAGACAAAGGCAGTGGACTTATATACTGTGACTCGCAGAGTGCACTCCTGGCATTGAACGCACGTAGTAGTGACACCCAGAAAATAGTCAATGATATTCGAATGAATGTTTTAGCTGCCAAAGAAAACAGATTTGAGATTAAATTCCTATGGATACCATCACATGTTGGCATCTCAAGGCATGACACTGTTGATATGCTTGCTAAGTCAGCCTGCAGAAAACCAGTGGTAGAAATTGATATGGGTGTTTCATGCGCCAGAATTTGATGAAAAACTGTACCCAAATGGATCCATGAGTGTCGTCGGGGATTGGTCAGTCAGGGAGCTTAGTTAATAAGCGCCAAGACTGACCAATCCTTATAGACGATCATTGGTGCGGTGGTCACGGTACTGTGTACGTTTAGGGGTGATCCTGGACGGCATGGGTTCGAATCCTGGCCGGGTCAAAGAGTTCTTAGTGATATATGGCTTGCGCGTTCATGCAGCTTTCTCACGTGTGTGTGTGTGTGTGTGTGTGTGTATGTATGTATGTATGTATGTATGTATATATATATATATATATATATATATATATATATATATATATATATATATATATATATATATATATATATATATATATATATATATATATATATATGTCGTACCTAGTAGCCAGAACTCACTTCTCAGCCTACTATTCAAGGCCCGATTTGCCTAATAAGCCAAGTTTTCCTGAATTAATATATTTACTATAATTTTTTTCTTATGAAATGATAAAGCTACCCTTTTCACTATGTATGAGGTCAATTTTTTTTATTGGAGTTAAAATTAACGTAGATATATGACCGAACCTAACCAACCCTACCTAACCTAACCTAACCTATATATATAGGTAAGGTTAGGTTAGGTAGCCAAAAAAAGCTAGGTTAGGTTAGGTTAGGTAGGTTAGGTAGACGAAAAAACATTAATTCATGAAAACTTGGCTTATTAGGCAAATCGGGCCTTGCATAGTAGGCTGAGAAGTGAGTTCTGGCTACTAGGTACGACATATATATATATATATATATATATATATATATATATATATATATATATATATATATATATATATATATGTCGTACCTAATAGCCAGAACGCACTTCTCAGCCTACTATTCAAGGCCCGATTTGCCTAATAAGCCAAGTTTTCTTGAATTAATGTTTTTTCGTCTACCTAACCTACCTAACCTAACCTAACCTAGCTTTTTTTGGCTACCTAACCTAACCTTACCTATAAATATAGGTTAGGTTAGGTTAGGTAGGGTTGGTTAGGTTCGGTCATATATCTACGTTAATTTTAACTCCAATAAAAAAAAATTGACCTCATACATAGAGAAAAGGGTTGCTTTATCATTTCATAAGAAAAAAATTATAGTAAATATATTAATTCAGGAAAACTTGGCTTATTAGGCAAATCGGGCCTTGAATAGTAGGCTGAGAAGTGAGTTCTGGCTACTAGGTACGACATATATATATATATATATATATATATATATATATATATATATATATATATATATATATATATATATATATATATATATATATATATACATACACTAAAAATATGTATGTATGTACGTGTGTGTGTGCAATGGGATAAAACATGTTTATTGATTTTTTCTGATCAGGGGAAGGAAGACACCAAGCCTTGGGGCGTAATTTTATTGACATGATAAATAATTCTGCAGAAGTAAACAGGCTTTTAAATAGGACTTAACAAATGTATAACATAGCCGTGGCTAACGCAAAGTACACGAAACATCTTAAATTGTACACCCGTAGTAAAACGTAATCTTATAGCCTAGTAACAAACTCTGCAGAAACCTAATGTCCTAATGTCTAGAATTAGCAGTGAGGCGAATGTAACAAATCTAATACTAAGTATAACAGGACACCAAAGTGAACAACATAACATAAGGGAAACCCTAGCTGGAGAATAATCAGGCGGCAGAAAACATAGTGACTGGGGAAGCCTGATATGTATTTGGAGAAGAAAATAACCCCAGGCCAGAGGCCGAGCCGCCAAGGAAGGAATTACCTGACAAGGTAGGGCTTACTAGTAGAATGTCTGTAAAGTCAAAGTAGTAGCTGCGGACAGCGGAACACTTGGGGACGGGCGCTGCACCCCCCCACCCATCCCCAGTGAAACGGGAGGAAAACGTGAGGAACAACGACTGACGTAGTCAGAACCGTGAGAACTGGCAGCCAGCAGAAAGGGGGAGGAGGGTGGGCGCTTCGTGAATCTTGGACCTGGACGGGAGAGGGAGTGAGAGCGGGACCTGACTTCCCGCGCCTTTTATGCCACCCAGGCTGGCCGCACCACGCCTGCGGGACGCGATGCGCAATTGTCTCTTCCTTCCCCCGTCAGAAACTCCACCGCCTTTCGTCAAAAGGCAGTGGGCCATATCTATATACAGTACTGTATATACAAAAAGGTATATTGGATTTATGAGAATACATAGCACTGATATTTTTAAATTCTTGTAAAGCCACTAACACATGCATATAGCTTTTCAGGCAATATGTTCCTGGTATTACTCGAGGCATGCACTACCTACTCAACTACTGGGAGACATAATCACATATTCTACTGACTATATATGGGTTTGAAAGGCACCTATATGGCTGAGACCCACAATCCAACGTTTACACTACATCTCCTACCTTGTTAGACACTATTGCTCTTCATCTTCCCATCCCTGTGAATTCAGCTGAAATCACAGTATTGTGAAGATTAACTGTATGATTAGTAGAATATAGGGTTGTATTATCTATACCTCCCAATGTTTGAGTAGGTCGTGCCTGTCTTGGCACTGCCTACTCCAGAGACGTGGTGTTCGATCCAGTCACATTGCTCCAGTAATGTCATAGTGTATCTTCACAATATTGTGAATTCAGTTTACATTGACAAGTGAATGTTAGTCTATAATCACAATTACAAACTGTATAATTGCTGAATAATAATGCATTGGAGAACATGAGGGGTATATTGATGCATCTGTGACTATGGTATAAATGCCTTAATTGTACATATCGTACTGTATGTGTGATATATTTTTCAGTTTTGGAACTGGAATTTATTATTTTTGTATATGTTCATTTGCCTCATAGGAAAAAGCTTTACTATTTTATTTGTAAGCTTAAAATAATGCATAAAAGGCATCTGAAAGTTGAATTTGCTTTATAATATGTATTTATTAAAATAGTTTGAGTCCTGAATAATCTTTTATTGAATTGTTCAAAAGAGAAATGCACTGATAATCTTCCTAAATAAGATATAGAGCTTGTTAACAGGAAGCATCTATAGCAGCTACCACTATCAGTCTTTAACTCACTTAGAGCTTATAGCAGGATTTTACCCTCAGTGCTTGTAGCTTGTTTTAATTAACATTTAGTGCTTGTAGCATGATCTAACACTCATGCTTGAAGCATGTTCTAACCTACTGTGTTTTACCATGTTCTAACACTTGGTGCTTTAGCATGATCTAACACTCATGTTTGTAGCATGTTCTAGCACTCATGCTTGTAGCATGTTCTAACACCCAGTGTTTTACCATGTTCTAACACCCTGTGTTTTACCATGTTCTAACACCCTGTGTTTTACCATGTTCTAACAGTGTTTTACCATGTTCTAACACTTCTAAAACATGGTGTTTTACCATGTTCTAACACTTCTAAAACATGGTGTTTTACCATGTTCCAACACTTGGTCCTTTAGCATGTTCTAACACTTAAGTGATTGTTTCATGCCTTACTGCATCAGTTTCACATTATCTTTAACATTGTCAGATCTTATAGCATGTTAACATTTTTCACTTTACCATTTTTTCTATTTCAGTTTTAGATCTTTGCTATATAACATGCATGGCTTACCTAACAGTTTATCCCTGCCTCCTCTTTCCATGCTGGTGACCCACGGTGTAGATTGCAGCCCAAGTCTTTGGCACCCAGAACAATCTGATACTGAATGCAGTTTGGAGTCAGTTGGAAAAAGGATTGGATCTCTTTGACAGACACACTGTTGGTGAACTCCTCTTCGATGGTTTTCTTTTACCAGAATTCGACTTCGACTTCTCACACCTGTCGCCCAAATTAAATTTCACGCAAGGCTGGACTGGGACAATCTATGAGATTTTGCAGAAAATGGGCGTGTCGAATATCCCTGCTTTTTTACAAGAGAACAAACTGAGCCTCTTGTTTGGGGTTAGTTACTGGCATAGATGTGTCTGTGTAACTTAAGAGTGCAGCACTGTACTGGTAAACAGAATTAGAACTAACATCATTTATTTTATTTATATACAGTACAAGAAGGTACACTTGGTTAGGAAAGTACATACATTGGGGTTTGAGTGTTACATTCCTGCAACATAATCTGTATTGCCATGGTCAGGTGTGGTTCAGTAATTATTAATGAAAAGTTTGGCACTAAAAAGAAGCCCCACACATGCCTGCAGATTTAAAAGAACCTTATTTTGAGTCTTTGGTTAAAGAAAATTCAATAAGAATTCTTTTTTTTATGCATCTTGAGTATACAATTCATGAGAAGCTTAAGTAGTGATGGTTATAACTTTTTCAGTTGGGTACTACAGTATATGTATAGTGTAGCAGATCAGTAACTGTGTAAAGCAAATAGTGCAGCTCTGCTGGAGTGATTTTCAGCAAGGAATTAATTATTATTATTATTATTATTATTATTATTATTATTATTAATAATTAGTGAGAAAATCCACTAGGGCTGTAAGGTGGTGCAAACCTACAACCAAAGCATTGTCAGCTTCAATCCATGCGGCTGGCAAACACTATTCCCAAACACTATTTTTGTGGCAAACATGACAGGTACGCAGCCAAACACTATTCACATAGTATTTGTGAATAACATTAGTAATAATAATAATAATAATAATAATAATAATAATAATAATAATAATTAATAATAATATTTAATAATTTTTGTTTAAAAATTATACAGTTGAAGAACATGGCACAGTGGCTGCAATTTTGTTAAGATGCATATTTAATGAAGCCACTAGTAAACAAACCATTACAGACTCAAGACAGACATAACTTAAGTATTAAAATTTTTTAATAACAGCAAAATACCAACTGTATTATTTTAAATAGGGAAATGTGTGTGAAATTATGTCTACCTATCTATTATATTCTTCTGTATAGCAATCCAAATTATAATGAACAAAATAGGATAAGAGTAGTTCTAGAGAAAATACCTTAATTCACAAAATATGTTCAGCAGATTTTTTTCCAATACTGTATATACAGAGATAAATTATAAGACTTAAAGGAGCATGGCAGTGGAACAAAACCAATAAATCATAGAACTATCTGGGACATACCATCACACCAAGGGCAGTAGTAAACATTATGAAACTGGAGACTTCACTTTAACTATACAGCCTATACCAGACTGTGGAAAGCACATCTGCGGTACCCACAGACTTACTCAATATGTATTTATATATTAATATATTTGTATATTTATTTATTTATTTATTTATTTATTTATTTATTTATTTATTTGAACTCATAGAGATACTAGAGCTAGCAGTGTGATTCTTCAGTCCATCTTTGTGACAAGAGGAATTGTAAAATGTAGATCTGTGGGCCCCAGTCAACAGATATCTTCCACACTTGTACAGTAGGCATATTTACCAATGTAAGCTGACCTGACCTAAATTTATGTAGCATATGGAAGTTAAATGAGACCTAATGTTAGAAGGCTAGAGTTAATTTTAATCAGAAGTGATTATAAGTTAAATATGTTTGTTTTGTGATATGAAACTGATTATAATGCTTATTTATAAAAAAAATTACTTTACTTTGCCTAATAGGCTATTTATATAAAATATTTAATTGGCAAATTTGGCATAGCATATATTGTACCAATTACTGTATTTTACCTGTGATGAGTTGTTACTTCTGCCAAGTAAAAGTGTCAGAAGTAACAGTTAAGCTTTACTTAAATCATTTTATAAAAAATATAGTTTTTTAATATTTAAAGAGTACTCAAGAGAGGTTCACCTAAATATAAAATACTGTAGTGCACCTAACATACTTTAAAATTTCCTAACTTATTAAGTAATTATTATGTCAGGAAAGTAGTTATAATATTAATATTGTATGGTACACAGCGTAACGACACCAATGACGGGATACACACAGTTAGTACTGGTGAGAAAGACATGAGCACCTATCTAGAGACCCAAGAATGGAATGGCAAATCGGCCCTCACCTACTGGAATGACCAGTACTGCAACATGATCAATGGAACAGATGGCTCACAGTACCCTCCCAAGGTCACTAAGGACACCGTACTTAAGATATTCACATCAGAACTCTGCAGGTAGTGTAATTTATAGTATTTAAACAGTATAAGCTTATTTGAAAAGTCTCAAAAACTGTGCATAATCTTGATTATATTATTTATCTGAATTTAGCTGAAGGCCACCATCTTTGGTGGCCTTGATGTTAAACGGGAAGTCAGTGGACAGTCAAAGGCCCCCCCATAAATCCCAGTGTTTACACTACTGATAATAATACATATTGCACAATGAAATCCCATTCACATGATGTATCAATGAGAAAATCAGTACCACATGTGTGGGTTCAAAGCCTCCTCATGGCTCCTACTGATTTTCTCAATATAAATTATTAACTGTTATGACACAACATAGTTTTGTAATCTGTATTTACAATTTCTTCTTTTAGCTTGTAACGTTTTGTCAGTATCACAATTTCTTGATTAAATTTTTTACCTAAAAAAATTAGAAACAAAAAATAAACAAAATATAGCACTTAACTGGCCAGACAAAAGGCAGGCAAAACTGTTTTTTTATATCTGAGGTAAAATTTGTCACTTCCTTATAGGTGATGTCCTGCTTGCTCATATTTAAATTTAGTAAATATATTACGCAAACCATATCCATCCTGTAAGGCAATATTGGATCCCATACCTATCCCATGATGGGTTGTGAAAAAGGTTACAGCGGAATATTACTATTGATGCTCTATTACTGCCTTATCTATCCATATCTCAACTATGGTATTTGTGCTTGGGGCTCTACTACCCAAAATCATTTACGTCCTCTAATTACTCAACACAAAGCTGCTATTAGGACAATATCCAACTCTGGCCCCAGACATCACTCTGTACCCTTACTCAAATCTCTGAATATGTTAGATATTACGTCACTACACATTTTCTTATGTGTATTATACATATATAAAACGCTGAACTGTAATGCCAATCCTGACCTAAAAGCTTCATTGAAGGTTGTAACAGAACCCATGAGCACCACACCAGAAACAAATACAGTTTTGATATTCCAAGAGTACGACTTAATCAAACTAGAAATGCTCTACAAATCAAGGGACCCAGAATGTGGAATGACCTTCCCAATCATGTTAAAGACTGTACCTCTCTCAACCAGTTTAAGATAAAAACGAAGCACTACCTAATAAATTCCCTGTAACCTACCTTACCCCTATATTGTCAACCCATGTATGTTTTTTAAACAATGCGGTTTGTCTACCTAATTGTATTTGTGCTGCTTTTTCAGCCATGTTCCCCCCATTTTATGTTTATTTTTATTTGTTCTCAACACATTTTATACTTTAAACTCAATTAGTATTAAGTTTTAGTATTTAATGTTTTTCCTGCCCGAAACGCTTTGCGTAATAGTGGCTTTAGGCATTGTATGTACTAGCTCTATCTATAAATCTATCAAATTTTGTAAAATCTCTTATATGTATGTACCTTACCTGAATAAACATTTATTTATTATTATTTATAATATAACACAATGTAACAAAGTTTCTGTGGTGAATCCAGTCGACTTCCTGGAGCTAACCAAACTGATATGTTCAATATTAGTTTAGGGGTCATCAGTCACAAGAGTCCTTATGCCTACCGGGGACCACAAGCCAGAATGTGATCCCCTCAGAGAGGCGCAGGAAGCATTCGCCTATGAGCACTTTTCATTATGTCCGTCTAATTACTGCTAGCTACCACAAGCTACACAAGCTTCACAACCAATGAGCACTTTTCATTGGGTCCGTCTAATTACCACAAGCTACCACAAGCTACACAAGCTTCACAAGCTTCACAAGCTTCACAAGCTTCACAAAGCTTCCTGGCAATACGTTAGTAATGAATAAATATGATAAGTTAGGTTAGGCTGACCTGACCTAACCTAACCTAACCTAACCGAACCGAACCTAACCTAACCTATGTTTGGATCGTCGATTTGATTTGGCGTCACCAGCTCTTTATTTTCGTCTAATTTCTTTATAAAAAAGATACTTTTCAGATTAAAATTATGTTTTTTCGTGTTGTACATTCAGCGCCAACATTATAATGAGTAAATATATCATATTTATTCATTACTAACGTATTGTCAGGAAGCTTTGTGAAGCTTGTGTAGCTTGTGGTAGCTTGCAGTAATTAGACGGACCGCGCAATTATAAATAAATAAATAAATGTTTATTTAGGTAAGGTACATACATACAAGAAATTTTTACAAAGATTGGTGGACTTATAGATAGAGCTAGTACATACAATGCCTAAAGCCACTATTACGCAAAGCGTTTCGGGCATGAAAAACTTAAATGACTAAAGCTTAATACTAATTGAGCATAAAGAGTAAAATGAAAACATGAAATGAAAACATAGCTGAAAAAGCAGCACAAATACAATTCTGTCGACAAACAGCGCTCTTTAAAAAAAAACAGACATTGGTTGACAATAGAGGGGTAAGGTAGGTTACAGGAAATTTATTAGGTATAGCTTCGTTTTTATCTTAAACTGGTTGAGAGAGGTACAGTATTTAACATGGTTGGGAAGGTCATTCCACAATCTGGGTCCCTTGATTTGTCCCTCACCACAATTACTCCTCCCACAATAATACGCACAGTGCTTATTATCACCACAATCCTGCTATTATCACAACACTGGTCACTAAATCCTGTAATACATAATTGACTACAAGTTTATTATGTAAACTACCTAAGAAGCCGTTTGAAGATTCCTAGATGGACGAAATAATGCTGTGGCTAGTGCTGTTAACATCGTGAACAGCATTGAATCACTAATATTTGAACATTGTACACAGTCATTATCACACTCAGGCTCTTCTGTAATACTATCACGGCTAAATAGTACAAGTTATATATTTTGACATTATTAGACGATGCAGTGGTCACAAGCTGAACAGCAGTGCTGTGAGCTCATGCTGCGTGCGCCGGTCTTGGTTGCTCACTCACTACTTAGGCTCTCACACCCGGGAATGTGGACCACGATTTTTTTTAAAGATGGTGTCTGTTTACAAGAGCCCTGAGGAAGCTGATGTGAACCCCATGTAGCCGCAGGAATTTTGAATGGAACGTGAAAAATACAAATACCCGGAGGCGTGTAGCTACACCCTAGACGTGAGCCTGAAGGCACGTTGCGCAGTTAAAGGGTTAAGGTCAGGATTAACATTACAATTCAGAGTTTTAAATATATAGAGTGCACATGAGAGGATGTGCAGTGACTTAATATCTAACATATTCAGAGATTTGAGTAAGGGTACCGAGTGCTGTCTGGGGTCAGAGTTAGATATTGTTCTACTAGCAGCTTTGTGTTGGGTAATTAGAGGACGTAAATGATTTTGGGTAGTAAAACCCCAAGCACAAATACCATAGTTGAGATAAGGATAGATGAGAGAGTAATAGAGCTTCACCACCAGGGCAGGACGAGGTACATAATATCTGATTTTAGAAAGAATGCCAACAGTTTTAGAAACTTTTTTTGCTATATTTAGAATGTGTCCCCCTGGAAATTCAGCTTGTTATCGATGACAACACCAAGGAATTTACCATGAACTTTACTACTCATTTGTATATTGCTTATTCTTAGATTAATTTCATTGGAGGATTTATTACCAAACAGAATATAGAAAGTTTTGTCAATGTTAAGGGTGAGTTTGTTAGCAGTTAGCCAAAAATGGACTTTATTTAGTTCAGTATTCACAGTGACATTTAGAGCAAGAGGGTCAGGACTGGAGAAAATGAAAGTTGTGCCATCAGCAAATAAGATTGGTTTGAGGTGTTGAGAGGCATTTGGAAGGTCATTAATGTAGATGAGAAAGAGGAGAGGGCCAAGTATGCTGCCCTGTGGAACACCAATGTTTATGAGTAGTGTAGGAGATATGGAATTATTCACAGAAACATACTGGAGCCTGTCAGTAAGGTAAGACTGAAGGTATTGCAGGGAGTGACCTCTGACTCCATAATGATGTAATTTAAGAAGAAGGTTTTGGTGGTTGACAGTGTCAAAAGCCTTACGCAGGTTCACAAATAACCCAACAGGGAACTCATTTTTATCAAGAGCTGTATGTATCAAGTTAATCATACTAATAAGTGCATCATTAGTGCTTTTATTGGGTCTGAAACCATATTGGCAAGAGCTAAGTATATTGAGTTTGGCTAGATATGAGAAAAGCTGCTTGTAGATTAGCTTTTCAGATATTTTTGACAAGGTTGGCTGATCAGAATTACATTTCACCTTTGTAAATGCACATTAATGTTGGTTAGGAGAAATGAGGGGTAATGTTCTGTGGTCCTATCAATGATTATCCCTGAAGTAAGTGGAGAGGTTATGTTAGTCCAGATGTGGTCAAGAGCAGAGGCAGTACTATTAGTGATTCTAGTAGGTCTAGTGATTAAGAGTATGAGGAAGCAGGAATTCATACAGTTGAGGAAACTAGCAGCAGGAGGGTTATCAAGCTCATAGAGGTCAATATTAAAGTCCCCTGCGATAATTAGATGGTTTTTGTTCAGTCTGTTATCTAGTATTAGATTTCTAAGGTTAGAGTTGAATTCGGACACATCAGTGTTAGGAATTCTATAGACTGCTCCCACAGTCAGGACAGACTCGGCTTTCTTGACTCTTGAAACAGGCAAAGATATACTCCCCACAGGCGTCTCTAGTTCTAATTACTTTTAAGCATGTCAGTTCTTGGTGGTAATAAAGAGCAGTACCACCACCTCTCTGAATTGGTCGACAGTTGTGAATTGCCGAGTAGTTAGGCATGTTAAAGAGTTGAGTAGTATCCTCTTTCAACCACGCTTCAGTAAGTATAACAAAAGAGAATTTGTTGTCAACAGTTTGAATCAGGACATTAACATCATCAAAGTGTTGCTTAGAGATCTTACATTCAAGTTAATTACAGAAACATTGTGATTATGCTTTAATACATTGTTTACATCATGTGCTGTATAATATCTGCAATTTTGATCGTTAAAGTGATGAATGTCATAGATACTGGATAAGAGGCTTACTTCTGGGCCTATACTTGTTTGCATAAGAGGCTGGTTGAAGGAAAACAAGGCAAAAAAGGCAATTACAAAATATAAAAAGTAATATAAAGCAAAATAAACTTAATTATAATTTCTAAAAAAAAAAAAAAGCTTAGTTAAGTTCCTAAAAAAAATTGTATGAATTAAGAAAAATAAAAATTAACTAGAATAATTAATTCCAATAGATGACCAATACAAATCAAAATTACTAAGACTTATATTAATCACCTAAAGTAAAGTTTACTATACTAAAGTAATTACTGTACACTATAGTGAATTTCTAAAGTTACACTATAACAAAATGAGATAGATTACTTTGAGGTACACAGTTACACTGAAAGTAATGGTTTACACTTGAGGACACAGGCAATGCTACGGTAAAATGGAGCATGGGGAGGCTAGGCAACCTATGTAACAATGAAGTACAGGTTACCTAGCCTGCATTTGGTGACAAGAGGATTAAAAAAGAAGCACAGGGTGAAAGGGTTATGACAGGGTGAAAGGTTATGACAGGCCGGTGTGGCCTGACTAACTGATAGGTGTCAGTCAGGTCAGTCAAACCACACTGGTTGAGAAATGTTTCTAAGGTATCCTTATTTGAGATTGTAAACATTTTACCTGAAGAAGCTTTTCTCACTTTTATCATACCGTCTCTCACGAAGCACTGCGCTGGATCACACCCGGGTTATTTTCCAGATTTGGCACAGGCGTAAGAGGAGTCCCAGTCTTTTTGTGGTCAAGCATTCATTGATCAAGCATTCATTCATTGAGCAAGCATCATGCTCCCTCATAGCTGTCTTGGTCTCTTGGTGAGGTGTTGGGTTTCTTTCCACTCTTCGGTTCCCAGCTGCTTCTATGGTCTAGGTTATTTTCTCGGAGTAACAATTTTGTTGGCTCTCTCCTTCAGTTGTGGTGTTGGGGAAATTTATGTGCTCTTCTGCTGGAAGGGGGGTAGAGGGGGGGTTGTTCCTTTAGCCTTGGTGGGCAGTTTGTTCATCTGCTGCCTTTTTGTCCTTTTCTTCTAATGAGTTGGCTGGCTTCTGGAGGGGTCCTTTGGTGATTGATGCTTGACTGGTCCAGCCAGGGGTTCATTGTTTGTTGTACCCAGTGGTGGTGGTGCTTTGCCACTGCCTATATGCAACTGTTTCTGCCTCAGTGAATGCCTTGTTGATCGACTCTGTTTTCCTTGGTCCTGTGTTTCAATGCTCTTTTTCTCTGGTTATCTTGAGGTTATCTTGAGATGATTTCGGGGCTTTAGTGTCCCTGCGGCCCGGTCCTCAGCCAGGCCTCCACCTTCAGGAAGCAGCCCATGACAGCTAACTAACTCCCAGGTACCTATTTTACTGCTAGGTAACAGAGACATAAGGTGAAAGAAACTCTGCCCATTGTTTCTCGCCGGCGCCCGGGATCGAACCCGGGACCACAGGATTATGTGTCCAGCGTGCTGTCCGCTCGGCCGACCGGCTCCTGTTTGGTTGCTTGTTTGGTTTGGTTGCTTGCAGTGTCATAGCTAGCCAGCCTGCAGTCTACCCTTGGGTCCATAGTATTGCAATTTTGCAAGGTTGCAAACAATTGGCTTCAATTTTCTCCATATATTGTAGGTTTATATTCAGGCTCAAGGTTTTGGCAGCCTATTTGGCATATGTCCCTAGTCCGTGTTGGTCTTGTGTGAGGCTGGGTTTGCTTCCCAACTCATGGTCTCTTCCTCAGAATAATGCCTGTTGTCTCCCCTCCCTGGTAGGTCTCAAGTTTTCTTGTTCTCTCTGGTTCACTAGCTTCAGGAAGCCACCAATGGGCTCTCCCAGACAACTAGCATTGTAGGATGAAACACCTGCAGGCGATGAGTCACAATAACGTGGCTGAAGTATGTTGACCAGACCACACACTAGAAATTGAAGGGACGACGACGTTTCGGTCCGTCCTGGACCATTCTCAAGTCGTTTGTGACACAAACGACTTGAGAATGGTCCAGGACGGACTGAAACGTCGTCGTCCCTTCAATTTCTAGTGTGTGGTCTGGTCATCAAAATGAAACACCTCTTTCTGGTAGAGCCCGGTGGCTCCCTGACTCCTTCCCTCCCTACCAGGTTTGTTTGTCAGTTTGTGGTGCTTCACCTCTGAACTGACCTTGAAGTCAGCTGTGGGCAGGGGTTCCAGGGTGCCTGGTGGTGACCATTGGTACTACAGTAATGTGTTACAGTAATGTGTTTATGCTAGTTAGTGATTCACTTGTTTCATCTGCATGATGTGCAGAGTTGGTTGGCAGTTTTGTTGTTATTTTATATGAACATTTTAGTTGTTTGTAAAGCTTCATTGACTTTCTGGATGCTTTCCGAGTGGGGATGAAAATAATAGGTCCCCAGCCAGGTGGTGGGAGGGGGGAAAGGGGTGGCCAGGTTCTGGCTCGGGTTCCTGGAAGAGCCTAAAGGACTCTTGTGACTGATGTGACCCAATAGTGGGAAGCCATGTCAGCAAGATGGTTTTAGAGAGCCACTAGGGCTGTACCAGAGTGTGGCATTTCATTACATTCAACACTGGGGTTTTGCCTGACTGCTAATGTTAAGCTGCACATCAGTTAAATTAAACTATATACAGTACTATATTCCCTTTCTACAATAATGCCCTTAACATCTGTACCTACAGTATAATAATAATAATAATAATAATAATAATAATTATTATTACAATTGTTATTTATATAATATACATAAAAACATGTTACAGTGGTTTATTAGTAAATACATAAATTATATATTATATATCTAACCAATCTGCCTTTCTGAATGACACTTTACAGGTCATTGTACCTAACCTATGAGAAGGAAATCAAGCACAATGGCATCCACGCCTACCGCTTCACGGCTCCGGAGAAAATGTTACAGGCTGCCAGTGAAAATCCAGATAACGCCTGCTACTGCTATCCTGATATGAATCACTGTCTTGGCAGTGGCATGCTCAGTTTGGAACCATGTGCAAAAGGTAAATTGTGTAACTGATATCAAATGTACCAAAATTTCCCAGAATATGTGATATGTAATTAATATGTAACTGAGATTTTTCTTTAGGATTGACCTTAGTAAGGCGGGAGCAACCGCCAGGACCTCAACAAAAATGTTGAAGTCCCTATAAACTGGATCGTTGAGCTCCTTATATGACGTAACACTAGTAAGGGTTCTCAGGTTCCACAGAGAATCCACAGGTTCTCACTTCGATATTTTATTGAGTGTGGCGCTATGAATCAGGTTTCGAATTTCCCAAAAACTCGCCTTCAGAACCATTGCAGTATTAAAATGTGGGAACAGTCATGTTGTGGGGTTGACATAAAGACCATTCTCTAACAATCAATGTTTATTCATCAAAGTACTAAACTACTACAACAATGATTTTACGTTACGTTAATGTCTCTCAGAGACATGTGGTATGGGAGGCCTTTGCGGGTTACCTCCTGTTCAACCCGGATTATGCCTCTATTATGGATCCGTCTTCGTTCAGGTTTGGGTCTTCGTTTCCCTACTGGATCTGTTATGAGGTTCCGGAGTCGTCCTGGCTGGCGGACTGTACTGTGTTTGCTTTGGAGGCGTGGCATACCTTCTGTCGTTACCACACTCTTGAGTGGCGTGAGGCATTGACAGTGGTCCAGATTTTCCTGGGGCAGTGAGTCTGAGCACCTCAATAAGTGCTTCTTTGCCCCTGCCCCTCCTTGGGATATTGGCATTGTGCAGCTCCATGTGCAGGTTCCTACCATTTCGACTGTTCAGGATGCTGAGGACTTGCGTGCTCGTGGCCTCTTGGCTTCGGCTTTGCATTTCTTTTCCCTCCTGGAGCTGTCTTCGAACTGACTTGAGGAGGATGTGAAGGCGCTTAGAGCCGTTCATGGGGTCCGGTGCCTTGGGCTCGGAGGCTCGCTCATCGTCTGCCTTGTTGAAGCTGTTTGCGCTGATCCTGCGGGATGCGGTGTCGCTGTTTTATGCCTCCCTGTTCCTGTGTTGGTGGGCGGTGCTTGCTTCCTTCCTGGAACCTGCCTGGGCTCTGGCTCTTAGAATGGCTTCGTCCTTCTGTCCCTTGCTGTTTGCTGATTCTGCAGTGGCGCAGTATCTGCGGGCAGCTTCAGTTAGTTGTCATCCCATGTCCGATTTGTTGGTCCTCCAGGGGCCCCAGGGGAGAAGGCCTTCCTGGAGGGGTCGTGCCAGGGCTCGGGGTTCCACTCGTTGGAGTAGGCCACTGATGCCAGTTTTAGAGCCGGCGCCGCCTTCGGGACCGCTTTCGGAACCACCTTCGTCTGGTCGACTCGGTGTTCGCTCTGTGCGAGGCTCAAGTTCTTGTAAGGCACCAGCCCTTTTGCTGTTCATCCCGTTGACAGGGAGATGGGGAGGAGGCTTGCTCTGTTCGCTCATGCCTGGTCTCATGATTTGTGGGCTTTTCAGGTCGTTTTTGATGGCCTGTGGTGGCGTTGGGTGGCTCCTTCCCCTTTGGGGGACTTGGGGCTGAAAGGGCAGGCCTCTTCCCCTGCTCTCTGTCGAGTCATCTTGGAGTGGGTTTGCTAGGGCGTGGTTGAAACGACGGCGTCTCTCAGATGGATTTCCTGTCGGTTCCCAGTCCTGAAATGGGACTGTACGAACCTGAGGTTGATTCTGGAATTGTCCCATCTAAACCCCTGGGTTCATTGCCCCTCTTTTTGGATGACTACGCTGTCCCAGGTCTTGCTTCTGTTGGAGCCGGGCGCTTGGATGGTGTCCCTGGACCTATGGGATGCATATTGGCATTTCCCAATTCATCCAGTGTTTAGGACTGGATCGGTTTTGTTGTGGGGAGTCAGAGTTACTGCTTTTGTTGTCTTCCCATAGAGGAGGCTAATAAAGAACTAGAAAAGTATAAGGAAGAAATAAAAGAGACATATGCACAAGTTATAAAAGAGAAGGAGACAATCAAAGAAGTGTGTTCGGAAGTCAAAACCAGAAATGACCAACAAGAAGCAGAAATTAGGCAAGCAATTAGGAAAGCACTGGTTACCAACAGTAAACTGCTACAAAACACTGCAGATAGAACTAAGTCCATAATAATTTTTGGATGTTTAGAGAAGGAAATTTCATCTAGGGTGGACCGAGTAGCAGAAGAGATGAAAATCATAGAGAAAATAATAGGTTTAGGAGAAGGCTCAAAGGAAAATGTCAGGGATTTTAGAAGAATAGGAAAATATGAGAAAGACAAGAACTGCTCCTTAAGGGTGACGGTTAATGGAGTGAAAAACATGATGGAAGTGCTTGGAAATGCCAGGAAATTGCAGAGTGATGAGGTTGGCAGTTTTGGTCAATAAGACAAGACCTCTCAAAGGAAGACAGAGAAAAGCGGAAAATGAACCTAATTAAAGCAAAATGTCTAAATGGGGATAGAAATGAAGAAGACAGAAATTCTTGTTTTTACAGTGTCAGGGACTGGAAAGCTTGTGAAATGGTACATAAAAACAAGGCAACAAAATCAGTAGTGGAAGTTGGAGTAAAGAACAAAGGGAAAGGGAACATGTTCCTGAAAATTGTATATACCAACATAGATGGAGTGAGGTCAAAAACTTTGGAGTTGCAAGATATAATTAAGCTTAAGGCCCCAGATATTGTCGCATTATCAGAGATGAAACTTGAAGGAAATATATTAAATGAAGTCATATTCCCAAGGGGCTATTCAGTTTAGAGACGTGACAGGAAAACTAGGAAGGGAGGAAGAGTGGCTGTACTGGTGAAAAAACACCTGAAGGTAAGAGAGTTAATATTTGAAAACCCTCGAGATATTGACATAATGGCATTGCAGATCTGAAATTAGGATGACAAGCTGATAATTTTAAATGCCTATAGCCCACCAGCAAGCAACACATGGACAAATGAAGAACTGGATGACAAACGAGACGGCCTCATAATGGTCATGAGAGATATTATTGTACAAGCAAAGATAAATCATGACTGTTGTTACTGGAGGACTTCAACTTTAAAGCAATAGACTGGGAGGTCTATGAAGCAAGAACGGAGGACTTTTGAACATGCAGATTTGTGAACCTCATTCTAGAAACATTCTTGTATCAACATATCAAGCAGGCCACAAGAATGAAGGAAGGAGATGTACCGTCAGTACTGGATCTAGTATTCACCAGTAAAGAAGAAGAGATATTTGACATCCAGTACCTTCCTCTCTTGGGAAAGAGTGATCACGTCCTGTTAGACATTAAATATGCTTTAAAATATCATCTAGAAGAAAATAGGGACATTGAAACAGTTGATAAACTCGATTTAAAGAGAGGTCACTATGGGGAACTTCAAATTTTTTTTAATGAGTGTAATTGGACAGACTTGTTGCTAGGCAGGGAAGTAAATGAAATGTAGGCCAAATTTTGCAAAATATACGATTAAGGCACACAAACATTCATACCAAAATAGAGATGCAGGACCAGAAAACAGGATTGGTTCAACAGAAATTGCGAAAGGGCCAGAGACCAAAAGACACAAAAATGGAATCGATATAGGAAGAGGCCAAACCCCCAAACACACCAGCGATACAAAGATGCGAGAAACAACTATACGGTAGTAAGGAGAGAGGCAGAAAGAAATTTTGAAAAAGGAAATGCGGATAAATGTATAACAAAACCGGGTCTATTCTACAAATTCATAAACAACAAATTGCAGGTAAAGGATAATATCCAGAGGTTGAAAGTGGGAAACAGATTCACGGAAAATGAAAATGAAATGTGTGAAACATTAAACGAAAAGTTCCAAAGTATGTTTGTACAAAATTAAATCTTCAGAAAACCAGACACAATAAGAATTCCAGAGAACAACTTAAAGCGTATTGAGGTGTCTAGAGATGAAGTGGAAAATATGCTAAAGGAGCAAAGTAAGAACAAAGCAGTTGGCCCAGATGGAGTTTCATCATGAGTTCTGAGAGAATGTGCATCTGAGCTCAGCATTCCACTTCACCTAATCTTTCAGGCATCCCTGTGTACATGAGTCATAGCAGATGTGTGGAAAAAGGCTAACATAGTTCCAATCTACAAAAGTTGCAGCAGGGAAGACCCCCCTCAATCTGACCTGTATCATTGACAAGTGTAATAGTGAAAATATTGGAAAAATAATAAAAACTAAATGGGTAGAACACCTGGAAAGAAATTATATAATATCAGACAGACAGTATGGTTTTTGATCTGGAAGATCCTGTGTATCGAATTTATTCAGTTTCTATGATTGAGCCACAGAGATTCTACAGGAAAGAGATGGTTGGGTTGACTGCATCTATCTGGACCTAAAAAGGCTTTCGACAGAGTTCCACATAAGAGGTTGTTCTGGAAACTGAAAAATATTGGAGGGGTGACAGATAAGTTTCTAACATGGATGAAAAATTTTCTAACTGATAGAAAAATGAAGGCAGTCATTAATCAGAGGCAAAGTAATTATGAAACAGAGGCAAACTCGCTTCATGCGAGTTTGAGGGTTGTTCGGTCCCCTTGTCTCAGGGCGACCCTCATGGTTTTTGCCTCCGTCACGCTGCCTGTTGGGTCGGTGACACTTTCGACCCTGAGTCCTGTGAGTTTTGCTGCTTGCTGGTGACTCAATTTACCCAATCTGTGGATGATCTTCATTGGGTACAGGCTGTGCAGGCGTTGCATTCTAGGTTTCATTTGTTGCAACGCGCTCGGTTGGTTGCTCATCCGGATGTCTTTCAGGAGGTTTTATGATTATCGCATCCAACCTGCTGCGGTGCGGGCGGCCCTTGCAGCAAACCTCCTGCAAGACCCGAATTATGCCTCGGCAATGGATCCCTCGGGTTTCAGGTTTGGGACTTCATTCCCTTTCTGGCTCCGTTACAAGGTTCCGGAGTCGTCCTGGCTAGCGGACTGTCCTGTCTTTACCTTGGAGGCCGTTCCTGCACTCGTGAGTGGCGGGAGACTTTGACGGTGCTGCAGGTTTTCCAGGGGGGCGACCTAGAGCACCTCAATGAGT